GTCCTGGATCAATATTTAATTTCATCTGGACGAAAATTTTAGCAGAAGAACAGATCATCAATGTTACGATAATTTAATTTCGTTGGACGATAAATTTTATAGAGACCAGATCGTCCTGTACGATATTTAATTTCGTCTGGACGAAAATTTTTATAGAGAGCAAATCGTCATGTACGGATAATTTTATTTTGGTCTGGACAAATCTTTACAGAGAACAAATCGTTTCCGGACTGATATTTTAAATTTTTTCGTCCTAGATAAATAGGACTAAGTAAAAATTTTTTTTCAAAGCCAGTTCCTATTCGTTCCATATGCTCCATAGGAGTATAACTGTCTGATCGTGCCGTAAATACTGATATATGTCCGTACGTTAGTATAAATTTTTTATTATGATTCCTTAATGGTAGTGTTTTGTGTAATGTTTTTATTCACAATCAAATTATAACACTTCCCTTTCAAATTTATTTCAAAACAGCTTTCAAGATTCACAAAGTATCCTCATGCTGAATTTGATTCGAAGTCTTCGTAGTCTTGGAGTTCTGATTTTCTGAATCGTTAGTCACAACAAGAGCAAATCACAATCTTCAAAATATGTTAGGAGATAACTACACATCTTGAGACACAATGATGATTTTGAAATCTCAAAAACTATAACAAGTCGCAAAATGGTAAATTCATGCAAATAGCAAATTATCTTAACAATCTCCCCTTTTTTGATGAATGGCAAAAACAATTATTATTTGTGATGATTTTCAATTTAACAAATCTCCTAAACTCACCCTGAATTTTGATGTATACCATGAAATAAGGAGGCTATTTTGAACCAAAGAACACATATTTTTTATTTTGGGTTCAAAATTAAAAAAAATTAAAAAAAATACCCGAGACAATACTAATACACAAGCCAATTGACATAAAAATCAAATACACACATACAAAACTATAATTTTCTTCCCCTTTTTGACAACAATAAAAAGTGAAACGAAGAAATAGACAAGAAATGGTAAGTATTATATGAAATTCTTCTTGAAATTGAATCTAAAAAGTCGGATTCGATATAGAGTATGCAATCTAAAACCAATAACATTAGGTAAATCATAAAATTCATAGAATTGCTAAGAAGTGATATAACATTGTACAGTAAGAAGAATTTATCAAAGCATGATTCATTTTAGTCATTTGAATATAGAAAATCATTACAAGAGCAGATGATAAAAAAAATTCTATATTTCAAAGTTAATAGATATAAATGAAATAGATCATTTGAATTAAGAGATTGAAGAATTTTGGAAAGAAGAAAATTACGCACATGTGGCGCTTTGCGAATCTTTTTTCAAAATTTTTTTGGCACATTTTTATGTGCATCTTTTAAACATATGGGCATATTTGTGCCTCTTTTTCCATTTGCGTTACATTTGCGCATTTTCTTTTGGATTTTTGTACTCTTTACAATTTTCAAGAGTAATGAAACCAATTCTTTCAAGGATCAATAATCTAATTTCAAAATTTTACTAAGTCATAAATATCACTTGAGCAAAGAAATCATAAAATAAGCAAAACATTTCTAAATTATAATAATAATTAACTTTAATGTACTCTAAATGAATAGACATGAGATAAAAATTCTAATTATGACAGTTTAAACAATTTTAAATTTAGAAAGACTAGATTTTCTAAATGAAACATTAATCTCAAATTACAATCTATTTAAGGCACAATCTTACGATTAACAAAGAACAATGAAATTCATAAAAATTAAGCCTTTCAAAAACAAACCAAATTTAAATCAACTACAACAAATTTGAATTATTGGGGATGAAAAAGAATTACATATTATTTCATAATATCAATACAAAATACTTTAG